TAAGAACTTCGCTTATAATGAGGCTATTAATAAATAGGATAACAACTTTTAATAGTAGCGCCTCTATACTTTCAAGAAGGCTAAAGATATTATTATGTATTTTAATAAGTAAAATAAGAACTTTAAAAAATTCAGGTACTAAAAAATTATTAAATAGTAGTTCTATATTCGTTAGGAGAGTCTAAATAATATTAAAGAATTCTAATAAGTATTCTATTAATTTAAAGGTTTCGATATCCGGGCGTCTATACTTAAAACCTAAAAATAAATTTGCAATACATTGTAATTAATATTACTATAAAATATTTTTACTAATAGGATTTTATTAGGCGTTTACGTCTAAGTTATAACTATAATTAAATTGTAGGACTATAATACTAATATAAAGTACTATATTTACCTCTCTAAGTAATACGCCTATAATAATAAGGAATTTTACAATTATTAGGAGGAGATTATAAAAGATTAGAATAAAGATAATAAACCGAAATAAAAGGACTTTACCGTCTTTAAACTAATTAAATTAATAAAAAAAAGGTAGGTAATAAACGCTCCTTTTTAACTAACCCGAATAATAAACCGCATTAAAATTTTATTCCTCCTAATATAAAGCGTAAAGGGGATATATTTAGTATTCGAATTAATATAGGGAATTAGGAGAATACGGACGAGAATAACAAGGGTATTAATAATAATATTGATTATTAATTCGATTGGAAATTAAATAAGGAGGAGGCTACTAAATTTGAGGGATAATTGAATAGTATATTAATAATTTATACGAAATATAATAAGATTATTTGAATAAATTGTAGTATGAAGTTATTCTTTTCTTTTTTTTTTTTTAAAATATTAGTATATTTTTATTTTTAGGGCTCGGATTTTTATTATTATAAATTTTAAAGTATTAGATTAATAGGCATTAGTAAAGAGGATTATATAGATATTTAATATTTACATTTCTTTTATTCTTTTATAGAATATCTTACAATCCCTTCTATACAATATTAATGAATAATATAGGACGAAGGAACGAGGGATGAAATTATAATATTAACCCTAATTTTATATTTGGTTAATATAGTATTAGGTTTTACACTTTATATTATTAATATATATTTAACTATAGCGTTAATATTTTATACAATAAGGTGTAATATTGGACGTAGGTAGCTAGTATGTTTCTAAATATTTTAATATTGGTCTTCTAATATCGTTATTTATCTCTAGTAATTTCTATTAGTTCTTATTATATTAATAAAGGTATGAAATCTTTTAAGTATTTATTTTCACAGTTCTCCTTCCTATTATAATTAAAGGTAATAGCCCGGTGGGAATATTAATAACGCAGCGCCAATAAAATTTCCCAAATATTTCCCAACTTAATATTATATTAATATTTTAATTTAAAAATAATTTAAAATTTTTATAGTAATAGTAAACGGGAAGTGGTATATATAGTGCATTACCTATTCCTGTTATATTTAAATTTCTATAAGATATTCCCGCTCCTACCTTATAATATCCAACCTCTACCCCCTATACTATATCTTTCTTCCTTCTATATTCTACTAACTATTATATTTCTACGTTAAAAGATTTATATTACTATTTTTAATTAATTCTATTATTATATTATATTATTATATTATCTTGCGATATTATTTTATTAATACGCCGGTCTCTTATCTCTATAAATATTAGTAGTTAAATATAAATAATATTATTCTTATTTTGGGGTTATACGAAGATAATTAATATATATTCGCTAATATATATATAATAAGTAGAGGATTTGGTTGCTAATATAGTAGAAAAGCTGCCCTTATTATAATTACGGCTCTATGTAAATTTCGAGGTAGGCTTCCTAATAGTAAGAATAAGAATAAATTTTGAATTACTATTAGTATTACTACTATCCCTCCTCCGCTTTAGGATATTACTTAGGTTTCTATTATTTAGGTTCCTTTTAATATTAAGGTTCCTATTATTACTATTATTACCCCCGAAAATACAAAGTTACGTAGAAGCCCCGGCAGACCTTTCGGTAGTAAAAATAAATTTCGAATTAGAGGTGCCGGTACTTCTACTATAGGGTAGGATAAAGTTGCCGCCGTCCTTCCTATCTATATCCTTAAATAGAAGAATATAATTAGAAATATTGCTTTAGATACTATTAATATTATAGCCGGTAAAGGCTCCTACCTAAACGGCTATTATAAATTATTCCTTTAATAATTCAAAGCGGCTAATAAGAGTAATAATTTAAGTAAGGGCCTAATATTTGTAATATTTATTAGTAGTATTATAGGAATTTTAGGTATAAACGAGAAAAAGTTTTCATATAATATAAAAAAGGAATGGGAAAAATATTATAATAAATAGTTAAATATAGCTCGCCTCCTACGTTATTCGGCCGCTAAAATGCAGGTTATTAATTATAATAGAAATATATTTTTATTTAGGGTTAAATTTATTAAGAACGATAATTTTTCGGAAATTTTACTTTATATTAACAAGTTTGTTTTAATGTAATTAAAGACGTATAAGGTTTCTTACCCACCCTATACCGCTATTATTATTAATGACCTTTACAGTCTAAAATCCGAAGTTATTATAACCCTTTAGGTTACTACTATTCCTGCTCCTATTAAACGTAAGTATGGCCGCCCCCCCAAGGCTAAGAGAGAGCTGGAGCGTCAGCTTCTATATACACTCCCGGTTCCTTCTACTATTATTATTCCTATATACGGACAATTATTAGAAAACGTAATAGCTTAAGTTAATAAAGCTAATATATTAGATTAGAATACCTTAGTTAAAGAATAAATATATATTTCTAGCATTAAAATTATTTAGGGTAGCGATGCCGAGTCCGACGATGGTGGATACGGAAATTGGAAGAGACGTTGTATTGGAACTGGAGAAAACGAATACGAATAGTATCCTTATAATGCTAATGACTATAAATAACCTCTTTATAATACTAATAACGATAGTGAAATTCTGTTAGGCGGTAATATTACGGTAAGTGGAAATAACCTTCCTAATTATATTGCTCCGCCGGATAGTAATATTCTTAATTCTTTAGACTTTATCCCCGATTATATTACTCCGCTAGGGGTTTTTACTTTGAATTCTGATCTTACTATATTTATAGAGGTACCGGTAATTATTTAATCCCTTAATAAGCTAGAGGAGATCCCCGAGCCCCCTCCCCCCAGTATTATTATATTTACAATCACTTAGTCCCCTAACGAATTGGAGGAGATCCCGGAACCTCCTAACTTCTATAAATATAAGGGAGAGCGTGAAGTAGTTAATTGGATTACCAACCGCAAATATAACCTTATTAAGTTCGAAGGCGAAGTTTGGGCTCCCGATTTAATATAAATAGAATTCGTAGAGCATTATTATCGTAGGGTTAATATAAATAATCTTAATAACCTCTACGAACTACGGATTCTAGATTAATATCCTATTAATATTTCTTTAAATTCGATAAAGAATATTGAAGAGGTTAGAGATTGGACTTTAAAAAATAGTTGTAGCTAGTATAGAATACCCTCGCCTAGGTTCGAATTCCTAATTAAATATTTCGATAAGTTTTACCTCTTTAGGGAGGAATAATTCTAGAGGATATTCGTTACTAATAGTTAGCGTTAATAAAGCTTATAACTATATATATATTAGGTTATAATATTCTTTAATCTTCTTTAGGTTATTTTTTTTTTTTATTTTTATATTATTATCCCGGGTTATTATTTATAGTTAGTTTTATGTATTGTTTTTATTTAGAGCCGGAACTAGAGTTTCTTATTTCCTTTTTATTATATTTTCTTATCGTTATATTTATATTAAGGAATATATATTTTATACTATTATATTAAAATAATTATAAAGGAGGCGTATTTAGGGTAGGCGAATATTATTAGCCACCTATATAGCACTTACACTCTAATTTTCTTATATATATAGGTTAGAGTTTTGGCCTATAATTATTAGAAAAGGATAGGAATAATAGGAACTATGAAGAACCTCCGCTAAGTAATTTAGATAGGTAATCTAATATAGCGCTTTCTTCCTTACTATTTAAGTATTTTTATTAATATGAGTATAATATTAATTGAAAATTGTTGTAAAATGATTATAAGACTTTTAATAGTTAGAATATATATTAATTGTTGAATAAATAAATATAATTAAATAATTATTGTATTAATAAGAATATTGGCCTATAATTAGTAGTTTAAGCGAGTATATGTGTTGTATTGTATATTTTGTGGCTTGGGTTGTATTGTTGTGGCACAGTTTGCTGTTGTTGTACTTTTGTGCGCTGTTGAACGGTTAATTCCGTTTCGTACCCAACACCGCGTTAACAGTCGCTGTACTGTTAATTAAAACCATGTATTGTAAGATAAAACCAACTTCAATACAATAATATTCAACCATCCAGCAGATTATAGCAAGAAATAATACTGTGCAAGGATGTTGCAGCCCACAACCCCTGCTTAAGCGTTTTATACTATAAAGGCCTGCTACGCCCACTTTTGTCAGACCCCCCATTCCCTCCAGGGACGCAACCAAGTGGAAGTCTGCACACGCGAAGCAAGAGCTTCTGTGGTCTGTGCGCGTGGCAAGGAAGTGAAGGTGGAAGTGCCCCTGGGAAGTTGGATTTCTGTAGCACGCTGGCACGATAAGTAGGTACCTGGAACCAAAGAGCCGGCCGTTTGATGGGTTTTGGGTGGGTCCGCGCCAGCTGGGGGCAGGAATGAGTGGGAAATTGCAGCACTGTTTGTACCTTACCATTTAATCGCTACTTCTAGGCAGGCAGACAGGTTATGGGAGGGGAAAGCTCTCAGCTCAGGGCGGTACCTCCTGTAAGTGGAGGCCAACAGATATAGGTACCTAGAAGGGAAGGGGGAACAGTCCACTGGGAGACAAAGGCCACTGGTCCAAGCCGGGGGAGAGATGTCAGGTACCTTCCACTTGCGGACCAGAGAAGACAACATACCTCTAGAGGTACCCAAGGTAGCTTCAATGGAGATCTTCTGTTTTCTTCCGTCAGCTTTCTGTATACCTACTATTGAACACGTAAGGATCTTCTGGACTCAGTACTGTAACACCTTGACACGTTTGCCCTTTCGTCTTTAACAGGAAGTTAAGGCACTCTTTCCTTTGCGAAAGCAACGACTCGAGGCCAGCCTGGCGATAATTCGGTTCAAGGGACGCGATCACAAGCCCCACCACTGTGACAGCGAGACGGGAGCTACTACCTTCCCTTGCCTCAACAGCCTACAGTATTCTACAGCACCTCGGACCCGAGTCCTCCTCCACAAACTTCCTGCCGAGCGGCATAGCAATCACTTTAATACACAGACATGGCGCCAACACCAGGGAATTCTCTGCGCGACAAGCAGATCTGTATGTCCCACTGCCTTCCTAACCCCAATGGTCCCGATGCCAGACAGTCTTGCGGTGGACTGACACATGCTCTCCAGTGTCTATCAAGAAGCTCCTGAACCTCAACCAACCCCTCGAACCGACCGACGGCGACGACTCGAATGGCTTCCAATCCGCTTCCGCCCCCTTGCTGAAGGACATTCCCACATGGAAGATTTTGGTTTTTGACGAGCTCGGTCGCAATGTCATCAGCCCAGTACTCCAGGTTTCGGATCTGCGATCCATGGGCGTCACACTACACGTTTCCATTGCGGCCAACAGGCAACCGATTCCTGATGTCGACGCCATCTACCTTATCGAACCGAACGCCAAGAACCTCCAGCAAATCACCAATGATCTTCAAAAGAACCTCTATAACTCTGCCAGCATCAACTTCCTCTCCTCGGTACCACGGCCACTGTTGGAGGACTTTGCGGCGCAAACCGCTGTCGCCGGCACGTCGGAGAAAATTGCCCAGATATTCGACCAGTACCTCAACTTTATCGTTCCCGAGCCGGATTTGTTCAGTCTGGGCATGCAGAAGGAGCATACATACTGGGCGTTGAATAGCGCAAAGACACAAGATGAGGAGTTGGACAGAGTTATCGACAGGATCGTCAGCGGCCTGTTTAGCGTGGTGGTGACACTAGGCGTCATTCCCATTATTCGCTGCCCCAGGGGTGCTGCTGCTGAGATGGTTGCAACGAAATTGGACCGAAAACTTCGCGATCATATTCTCAACTCCAAGGACAACCTCTTTTCGGCACACAGGGCGGCCGCTTCCAGCACTGGAACGCCAAAGCCCCTGCTCGTCATCATGGACCGTAATATCGACCTAATTCCCATGCTGTCCCACTCGTGGACCTACCAGAGCTTATGCGCCGACGTCTTTGGTTTGTCGGAATCGAACCGGATCACAATCGAGAGCCCTGTGGACTCCAATAACCCGGCCAAGGGCACCAACAAGAAGACGTATGATTTGGCTGCCGATGATTTCTTCTGGGCCAAAAACTCATGCCTACCGTTCCCTCAGGTAAGTTGAAAGTGCAGACGGGACACCCTGAGGATGGCCTACTAACCAGGATGCTTAGGTTGCCGAGGACATCGACATTGAACTCACGAAATACAAGGAGGAGGCGGATGCTCTCACCAAGAAGACTGGCGTTAGGGATTTGGACCATTTCGAACAAGACTCGAGTGCAAGTGCTCAGCATCTAAAAGCAGCTGTTACACTCTTGCCCGAACTGCGCGCAAGAAAAGCCACTTTGGATATGCACATGAACATCCTTGCTGCTATCCTTGGCGAGATTCAAAGCCGACAGTTGGATAACTACTTCCAACTGGAGGAGAACGTGTTCAAGCAAACCAAGGCGCAAGTGCTGGATCAGATCAAGACGGCGGACAAGGGCAAGCCTGAGGATTACCTGCGTCTCTTTGTGATCTGGTACCTCAGCACGGAACAGGATGTGTCTCGTCAGGAATGGACGCAATTTGAGGAGGCACTCGCGGCCAAGGGCTGCGACACAACGTGCCTCTCTTACATCAAGCAGTAAGTGCTACCCCCTTTTTTTTCCCTTGGACTTTTCAGCCAGTCCTGACTAACAATACCACACAGAGTCCGCGCCACGACCAAAATGACACAACTCACCACGGTCAATAATCCTTCATCCTCCAACCAGCAACAATCCGGGTCCTCGGACCTTTTCAATCGCTTCTCTGCCATCTCGAGCCGTCTCACCGACCGTCTCAAGGAGACGGGCGTGCCCACGGGCGCTCTCTCCAATAACGTGGCCTCTCTCTTGGGTGGCATCAAGAACTTCCTCCCCGAAGACCGCGACCTCACGGTAACCAAGATCACCGAGTCCCTCATGGACCCATCGGCCGCCAGCTCCTCGGCCATCGCCAAGACGGAACACTACCTCTACTTCGACCCGCGCAGCGCCAACGCGCGCGGCACCATGCCCCAGCCGTCGGCCATGCGGGCCCAAGGGAGCGGGTCGTCCCTGGGCGGTCCCGGTGGCTTGCCAGGATCAAGTGGCCCGGGCCAAACGGCCAGTTTCGGGCAACGCAGACAGGGGTTCTCGGAGGCGATTGTGTTTATGGTTGGCGGTGCGAGCACGGCCGAGTATAGCAATTTGCAGGAGTGGGCGGCGAGAACGACGACGGGAGATCGTGCAAAGAGGAGGGTGATTTATGGTGGTACGGAGTTGCTTAATGCTGGCAGCTTTATCAAGGAGGAGTTGGAGAGGTTGGGTAAGGAGGTTTCGTAGATTGATGGCGAAAGATGAAGGGGAAGAGTGAGGGGTGGAAGTGAGGAGCTGCTATATATCAGATTATGATAACTTTACTTGGTCAAAAGCGTTATCAAGCATTCATGTTTGCATCACGATGTTTGTGTTGGTGTTGTCTTGCCATTTGGACAAAGTCACTCGAGAATCAAGATATCAGACGTGGTGGGCTTTCTTGGCCTCCATCCACGCTCATCGCATGCATGTCTTGCATTCTCCTTCAGCATGACCCGACATGGTGTGCACATGTCACAAAGCTGAGATAGGTGCAGCTGCTGAAGCATGCCAAAAATAACTTGATCAGAGGATTTACTTGGCACCCCGAAACGGAACACCGAGCCCACGGACAGGCGGAGTCGGCAATTCTGCTGATGGCTGATCAAAAGTTGATAACGCGTCCTGGAGACGTTGGAGTCAATGTTGTTAAGTCGTCGTCAGCTAAAGAGGCGAAGGGACTCGTGTGCGCACGTCTTTTCAGTACTTGTATCGCCGCTGAAGAGGCTGTGCTGCTTGCGCATTCGGCATCCAGCATCCGAGTAGTAGTCTAATGCAATAATTGACAGTTCGCATTCGTCTTCGTCATTTCATGAATGAGCGACCCATTTAATTTGCAAAGAAGACTTCCCGACTATCAAGGTGCCTCGCGTTAAAGTTGGCGCTTATCCAAAAACGCCAAGACCAGGGCTTAGCAACTTGAACTGCCAAAGGAGGCGACCAACGCGCGATGCCAAGTTTGGTGTTGTTGGCCGCGCGCAACAGGAAGTGGAAGCCAGGGACCACTGACCGGCAGCTACCTAGCTCTGTACATAGTACATACATGTACACTAGCTTGTGCCAGGCTTGTCCCAGGCTTGTCCAAATGAAGTGGCTCCACACGACGGAGATATAATGTATCATGTACATCAAGGAAGGTGCGATATCAAGCATTGCTTTGCCTCTGATAAACCTTTTGGATAGAGAGAGAGACTCGAAGGAGATTGTAGGGGACCCGAGAAATTGGGATTAAGGAACATGTCACGGTATTATTGCATAGGCTATGTCTGTAACATAAATATACAGTGATGCTCGATATCAAAGACACATTGATTGCATCTACGTAGTGTAGTGTACAGACTAAAACATCGGCTCCCTCCCGCGCACATGCCTGCATTGCCCGATGTCTCTCTTTTCCCACTGCTGATCTTGTGGAAAAGCACAGATGGGGGAAAGTTGCTCTAACACGCAAAGTGCTGCTCTAAAAGTGCCGATCCGGAGTGAGGCCGTCCAACGAGATGAATCCCCAAGGGGAAAGAGGTTCGCTTGTCGAGACGGCAAATTTGATGTCGTTGGAATTGTACTATCCCAACTGCTCCAAGTGGACCACCGCTATGGCAGCGAGTCGAGATGCCGGACTGGTCTGGCCCATTGGATGAGCGCTCTGACCACCTAGGCGGGAAGCTGCGTGTTCGTGTCGCTTCGTTGCTGCGGATGATCCTGACAGACAACCTCAACGCCTCTTTGGATGGATAAGCCGAGAGGTTGAATGAACAAAGTGAGCATGATGGGAACAAGAACATACCTAGAAATTAAGGAAAGATAAAGCAGAGAGATCCTGGTAAGGTAGGTTTCATTGACTAGTCCCCCCACAGCCCAGGCTAAGCAGGAGGCTTCAACCCCTCCGTGGAACCCCTTTAAGAGGCTCAAACTATTGTAAAGACGAATGAACCAATCACGAGCTGTGTCTTTGGGGAAGCAGTCAGTGGAGCGACGTCACTCGGCTCCCTTGGGCGCTGAAACGGGCAACCCACGACACCATGGCGAGCGAGCGTTTGGGCGTTTTGGCGGTTGCGAAAAGGTTGCAAAGGGACCGGGGCGTTGATTGGCCTTGACATGGCCCCTGTAGCCCCGTGCGCCCATGTTGATTTCGAGGAACGGCATCCACTGCGACCAGCCCCCCCAGTTAGACCGTGGACGGCATCATCTGCCATTCGCGCCGTCGCGGTCCTGGCACCACATTCATCAGCTTGAAACTCGAGATTTTCCTCTTTTTTCCCTCCCCCTCTCCCCCTCTCTCTTTCTCTCGTCCCGTCCTCTTTTTGTTGCTCTTGGATTTCACGTGTCTCTTTCGCGGTACGGACAAGAAGGGGTCCAGTAAGAGGAACGAGATCTGGCATGCGGCATTGGCATTGGGCGACGAGACATTGACTACCAACCGCTACCGTACACTTCGAGACACAATCCGAACTTACCCCTCGATACCCCAAACACCCGCCAGTCAAGGAGACGTATTACCCCGTCCTTCCCTGTCAACCATCAACAGATTCACGCCCGGTACTTAGCTTGTCTCGACAACTACAAGGAACTGAACGGTCAACCGCCGAGTAAAAGTAAGCGGTCACTTCTTGCAAGAAACAAACAAGCAAGACGGACGGCATAACACTGCCCAAGGGAGCAAAGCTCCAATAAAGACGGGATACCAACAGGAAGCTGGTTGGGAGAAGGGCCTTGACGGCCGCGGCGCATTCCACACGCACACCAAGCGACTGAGACTTGTGACGAACACCCGCTCGCGCCAAACCTTCAACAGTGATCGACAACGCTTTCTCGACATATCCCACACACTCATCTCTCCCTCCAACTTCCCCGGGGGATCACGGAGTAACTAACCAGAGACCGTAACCCGTTATAAGCGCCCCCTTCAAATCCCGGCACCATGTCGTACAATCGATTAGGCAAGTCTACTTCTTTTATGCTATGAATCACTCTTGATATCAAACAAACACCGAGACCCCAAGTGGGACTGTCACTACATTAGCACCCACTCCCTTTGAACCCTTCCAATATCCCAAACCACATTCCTTCCTCGGGGCCCTCACCCCTTGCTTCCTTGGAACTTCATGGGTCCCAAGAGTCTTGGAGACCTGTCTACCTCGAGGCCGGACCCCAGACTAGCTCTCTCTACTTTCAGGACGACTTCAAGATTCCTGTCAAGAGAAACAAGGGATTAGTTACTTACCTGGCGCAAGTGCACGGCAGTGGTCATCTTCTACACAGCCCATCTCGAGTCTTTGCTCTTACATACACATTGCCGCAACGGGTCGCATTGTGCCGTGCCTTGACGTACAGACTTGGCCATCGTGCGCGTCCGGGCGCGCATATGGGTTGCCTCCTAGCAAGACAGTCACTGGTGATAGCTTGAAACTGTCATTCTAACACTTCCTCTTCAACTGTCTAGACGACGACTTCTACGAAAGTCACCCAATGGATCCCCGAATGCATACGGCGCCCCCGGCGGGCCACCCCATACAGCCAGGCTACCAGTTGGAGGACAACCCGTACCACCACCAGCAAGGCTTCGATATCCCGGCCGGCCCTGGGAGATACAGTCCTGGAGATGCGCTACACATTCAGACTCCTGTGAGTATAGCTGCTATGTCTGTGGGGAACAAGACACTAATGCGCCGAGCAGCAACCGATTGAGGGCATGGGCGGATACAATGCCCCGGGCCAACATTATACCCCCGATTACGCCGTGAACCCGGAAGAGCACCACGATGCCTACTACAACCAGCCCTACGAGCCCCAAGTTGGCCATGACCCATATGCCGCGGCTCCAACACCCCCGGTGGCCGGATACCAGGCGCACGACGACCAACGGCCCATGTTGATGCATACCGATTCTCAAGTCGGCCAGAGCGATCCTTACCACGACGAACCCCAACCGCCAACGAACAATGCGCCCATCAAGAGGTGGAAGACAGTCAAGCAGGTGCTTCTGTACCGCGGTAACTTGGTGCTGGATTGTCCTATCCCTCCAAAGCTGCTGAACCAGCTCCCCCACGGCGAGCGCGACGAGTTCACCCATATGAGATACTCGGCTGCCACCTGCGACCCTTCCGAGTTCTACGAGGAGAACTTCACTCTGCGCCAGAAGCTCTTCAGCAAGCCTAGGCACACAGAGCTCTTCATTGTCGTAACCATGTACAACGAGGACGAGATTCTGTTTGCGCGCACCATGATTGGTGTGTTCAAGAACATCGAGTACATGTGCAAGCGGACGGAAAGCAAGACGTGGGGCAAGGACGCCTGGAAGAAGATTGTGGTCTGCGTCGTCAGTGACGGTCGTGCCAAGATCAACCCGAGAACAAGAGCGTTGTTGGCCGGTATGGGTGTCTATCAAGAGGGTATCGCCAAGCAACAGGTTAACGGAAAGGATGTCACGGCGCATATTTACGAGTACACGACCCAGGTCGGCATGACCATCAAGAACGATGTCGTCCAGCTCATCCCCAAGCAGCAGCCCGTTCAGATGCTGTTCTGTCTCAAGGAAAAGAACCAGAAGAAGATCAACTCGCATCGTTGGTTCTTCCAGGCCTTTGGTCGCGTTTTGGATCCCAATATCTGCGTGCTCATCGATGCTGGTACTAAGCCCGGTGGTAGCTCCATCTACCATCTGTGGAAGGCCTTCGATCTCGAGCCCATGTGCGCCGGCGCCTGCGGTGAGATTAAGGCCATGTTGGGCACGGGCGGCAAGAACCTGATCAACCCGCTCGTCGCCACTCAGAACTTTGAGTACAAGATGAGTAACATTCTCGACAAGCCTCTCGAATCCGCCTTCGGCTTCATTTCCGTCTTGCCCGGTGCCTTCTCCGCTTACCGCTACGTCGCTTTGCAAAACGACAAGAACGGTCAAGGTCCCTTGGAGAAGTACTTTGCCGGTGAGAAGCTGCACGGCGGCGACGCCGGCATCTTCACGGCCAACATGTACCTCGCCGAGGATCGTATCTTGTGTTTCGAGCTCGTCACCAAGCGCAACTGCCACTGGATCCTGCAGTACGTCAAGTCGGCCACGGGTGAGACCGATGTGCCCGCCGACCTGACCGAGTTGATTCTGCAGCGTCGTCGTTGGCTCAACGGTTCCTTCTTCGCGGCTATCTATGCTATCGTCCACTTCCACCAGTTCTTCCGGTCCGATCACTCCTTCTTGCGAAAAATTGCCTTCTTCATCGAGTTCGTGTTCCAGACGGTCAACATGATCTTTGCCTGGTTTGCTATTGGCAACTTCTTCCTCGTGTTTAAGATCTTGACGACGGGTCTGGGCGACGAAAAGCTTCTAGGGACCGTCGGCCAGATTTTGGGCGTCGTGTTCGCGTGGGCGTACGGTGTGACTCTGATAACATGTTTCGTCTTATCCATGGGTAATCGGCCGGCTGGTTCTC